ACTAAAATAAAAATAATGACACTGCTTTTCTGATTTTCACTTCTTGCAGGGGTGTCTGGAATGTAACCTTCATGGTAAATGAGGGACCACTGTACATTAGAAGCTTGCTTTTTTCTTTTATTTCAGATATTTTATATCACTTTTTCTGAAAATTGAAAAATGCCTATTCAAATACAAAAAAGTGTCTTCTGCAATGAAAAATTATTTTAATTACTTAGAAAGCTTTTGTATGCCTAGTGAGCTTTTTTTTTTTTTCTGGAACCGGCCTAGTGAGCTTTGATAGAGAATAAGAACTTTACTTGTCACAGGAAAGTGATACATAAATGGTGGTGTTTTTTTTTTTTTGTCCTCAATCACTTCAGAATAAGATTTCTTCAGGTTATATCAGTGATATTACTAAAAGCTAATGTAAATTTCATTTGAAAGTACTTCCTATTCTGTTTTTTTGCTTCAGCAAGTTGAGTTGGACTGCTACTCACTCACCTGTATTTTATGATTAGGTATCTTCTATAATAAATCTATACCCAATTCCAATAAAAGTTTCTTCCTGGGGACAGAGATAATATTTTGATAACTAATAAATCATGACTTGCTACTATAGAATTGGTTCTTATGTAATTTCATCTCATAGCATGAATTACTTTATAGTTAAGGTATTTTACTATTAAAATACCATATATCAAATAAAAATTACCTTTAAGTTTTTGATGGTCATTAGAATTTATCTTTAATGTTTTTGTCTTTTTTTATAGTCCAGTATGTCAAGTCTTTAATTCTGAACAGCTGCTGTCTAAGACATTTGCAAATAGTGCTGGTCTTGGGTTAAGAAACAGTATTAGAGGAAATGCAAAAATTGGGATAACATTAACTAGGTTTGAATAGACTGAAACAAATGTTACTGAGCAGCCAGTCAGTGTTCTAGACATGGGACAGAAGGTGCTACACAGACAGCCTACATCCTTACACCAATCCTTTTTGTGAGAGGCATCAGGGGCAGACAATATACCTATAATAAGAATGTACTGAGGTGACAGGAGAAAGTGACATTGGGCAATGACTGGGGCAGGTGGCCAGTTTTACAAGGGCAGTGAAAGATGGTGGCTCTGTTCAAATGATGTCTGAGCAGCCCTAAACATGAGAGCACTGTGTGAGGGATGCTGCTTCCATGCACACATATAGAGCTCTTCATTGGTACTCCTTAAGTTGAAACTTGGTTTGGACAAAGGACATAGGATGTAAAGATGGCTGTAGAGGACTGAAAGAGATACTGTACCAGGTAGAAGTTGGTGGGTCAAGGCTTCCATATGCCTGGTGGGCTTCACACTGAAATTTAGAAATCAAACCATATGTAGCATTGTACTAGGATTATCCTATGATTTTTTGTCTCTTGTTTTCTTTCATTACCTATTTTTTAAACAAACATT